TGCTCACAACAGCACATTTTTCACTCGTTAGGTTAAATTTTCTATTGATTTTAGTTGAATTATATTTATCATGGATCATGCCTGTATGAGCAGGTGTTAAGATCATTGAAAAACACCATTGAACTGTTTAGTGTGTGTATTGGGGTGTAGAATTTGTTTGAAAACGTTTTTTTTTCAGCCTCATACGCTCTTTTGTACAGTTGACGACTTTTGTCAAAGAAAATGAATGTGGTCCTAAAAAATATGTTTGTGTTGACAAAGATTTGAACTTTACTTTAACACCAAATACAAGCATCTATGATTTAAAACTGTTGAGATATATTTCTTTGAAAATACCCCAACATAGCGTGTTTCCAGGGAGTAGCGCTCATAAAATAATGGCGTTCTTAGGGAATGCGCACCATGAAAGCCGCACGATGCGGAACTAGCACAAGGGACCCCGAGTTTTTGCTGTCCTATCTGAGAAGGCTAGGAATCGATCTTTCCTGCTAGAAGATCAGGGGTGAGGCTGAAAGACAGCAGTAAGAAGGAGCCAAGGAGCAGCAGTAGAAAGGCTGCCGAAAGAGTCAGGAGCCCAGAGCACGGGGCAAAGGAGGTGAGGGGGTGGGGGCAGAAAATGGAGACGGAAGCAGACAACAGAACATTGCTAGAGAGCAGGAAAAGAGGTGAAATGAGACAATTTCAGAGAAGAAATTTTTTCGGTCGCTACCCGGATTCGAACCCGGGACCTGAGAGGCGAGATGAGAGCCCCAAATGCTTAGTGTGAGGACAGGATTAGAGAGACTCGGCAGTAGGCGTAACAATACACATAAAATTCTATGAGCACCTACGCTACATCTATGGCCCATCTAATTTGGGAATTTTGTGCCCGCAATAAACAATAATTTTACTACGGATGATTTCGAACTGACTAGAAACAGCTCAGTCACAAAAACCCAACAAAACCTGGACTTCACGCTAAACGTGCTCATTATTATTTTGTTTAGGAGTCATTGGTTTTTATGTAGAGCACGAACCTTTGGGAATATACTCTATTTAAATTTAGACCTAATTTTCTGTCAGTTCTTCCAAAATGCCACAGGGAATTACAAAGAAAGGATTTCAATTGAGAGCAAAGTTATTTTTTTCCAGCTGTTGTTTCATGGGGCTATGCGTTCCTGTAAAATTTACATCAGGGCTTTTTATTGGTGACCACGTCAACATTGGTAGGATTTGGTTTTCCAAGAATTCTCTAATGGCATAGCCCTATGAGAGGGCCCTTTTTCATGCATCGGGATGGCTACTTGAATGGTACCAACACGAAAATAAGGTTAAGACATGACATTCCAGCACTTGCACGATGTAGTCCACTAAACAAAGCCATCCGGTGATTTTCACGACGGTGGCTTTGTTCCACCCACCCCCAGACCACACCAAACCATGACAATTTCGTAACCTCTATTCCTGACTGATAGATTATTATCATGTCCAAAAACTAACTTACACAATAAGTGTGTAAGAAAGCGTTTGTGCTCCATACGAAACCAATGGTTCCTAAACAAAAAGCTAAGGAGCACATGTAATGTTAAGTCCAGGATTTGCGTGGTATTTGTAATTTGATATTTTAAAGGTCTATTTTGAGTGACCATATCTCTGGTGACTCTCAAACATAGATGAAATAATAATGTGTCAGATGATGCAGAATTATTTAGCTTTAAACTAAACTGCTGCGTGAGTGGAGAATGCACGGCTTTAACACGATGACTAGGTGATTACTTTTTCAAGTTTCTTTTTGGAGAGCTGTGTCAGCAAAAGTAATAATTATCAAACAAAACACAACACACACACACACACACACACACACACACACACACACACACACACACACACACACACATACACACACATACACACATGGGGATGGACACACACATACACGCACACACACAC